GGTTGTAAAGGGAGTTTTCAGTTATCTTCACCTTTGGTTCCTCTGTACAACTGATGATAGAGCATTTAGTGTTTTTATCTCTTTGTTGTTACTGTTTAAGTTCAGTCTATTGTGCATTTGTCAACTCAACACAATCTGAATAAAAACTGAACAGTAAAAGTTAATTTAGTAGAGTAAAAACTAAACATTGTACAATACAAAGATAATGAATAGCTGTTTAAACACCAGCAAACTGGCTAAAAGACATTTCTCAGTGTTTCTATAACTTATTTTGTCAGAGAAAAGGGAAACAAGATGTCCCTCGAAACTTCTCACACCACAAATGCATGGTTCACTTCCTTTTTATACATAATTAGCATATCTTAAACACTTTAAACACACAACTTCTGTTTCCATCCAGGCTCACTTACTGTTACTGGGTGTATTTACTGTATGTCATCATACGGTAAATACATGTTAAAGCTTCTGCTTTTTTCTTTTAGGCATGCTATTAATTTTTGCAAAACCAATAAATTTTCTGTTGCTTTGCACAGCTGGCTGCATTCACCAATCCACACAGCAGGTGAATCCACTTGGCTAAGAGGTGAGTGGTTAAGAGGTGGCCATTTGGGGGCCAGCCTTAGTAGTATGCGGCCTATTTCCTTCAAACAAATCATTTTATGCAAGTTGGGTTTGGCTGCTGAAATCCCATCATTACTGATTATCTGTTGCAGATTTTTCTTTCTCTCCGTTATATTTTATTTTGTCTCTTGTCTGTGTCTATTAACACTTCACTTTTTCAATGTGTGTACCAGATTACAGTGTGTACCAGAGGAATTCACTGTATTGATGATTTCCTCTCACAGTCTGTACCCTGTTTGATGCTAAAGAAAAAGAAATAATGATTAACTTTTCATCTATTTGTGACTTAAAAAATATCAAGCAAATCGTCTTTCAACTCTGTGATAGTTTGTGATGATTTAATGTGTATTTCTTTATGGAATTTAACTCCTTGACACTTCTGAAAATGGACCCATACTGTTGGTTCTGTCTCCTGCATCGGAGTATGTAATGAGACTGGGATTTTGTGCAATTCTTGCAAGGTCATAAATTACATATTGTTATAATTACACAAAATCTGTTCCAAACCCTAAACAGTCCCTGACTACTAGGACCTCCAAGCCTGTGGTCAGCTCTTGCATTGGGCGGGTGCAGAACAGAGAGTGACGCATTTGAAGGCAGAACTACATTGCTGAGAGAATATAGAAGTTTCTGGTTTGCAAGTGAAGACGGAAAAGAGGGAGCATTAAATATGAAAGTCGGTCACACTTTGAGCTGCTTCATCTTCGTCAGTGAGTAAATCTTCCTATTTCTCAGATTTTCTCTGTGTTAGTTGTTTTCTTTTTTTATTTGGAGTTCATTGGTAAATTTTGCTCATTGTTGAACAGTTTCCATCTCTCTCCTGTGGTTAAGCATGTTGTTCAGATTCAAAAATACACTTACACTGCAGTTTACTGAAAACACATTAACTCCTTAATATAAACCTGTGTGGAATTTACACAAGCATCTTTTAACACAACCACAGTTTGCAGCTTATTTTTGTTAGTTTCCTCCCACTTTGCTCCCTAGAAATAATCTTTATAATATATGAAGATGTTTTTCTTCCATACTATTTCA